CATCGGATTTTCCTCCAAAGCAGGCAGTCTTCCATCCTCACTTGTGCCACAATTTGTCACTGTTGCTATAATCATACTGATAATATCATTAAGTACAAATAATTATGTAAATCTTATCTAATTTGAAAGAAGTTAATGAATGAATCAGAAAACTGCTTACTATGAATGAACTGTCAATTTGGATGTTTTTGAAATGAACAATCATTCAAAATTAAGCAATACTAGTATGTAATTCTCCATGATGTAAACATACATTCTAATTGCATTGTCTCTATTAATTGGTCATTGTCCCATAACTTGTCAGCTTCACCATGCATAACAATTGCCATAACTGAAATTGGTAGCAGAACATATCAGTACAACATTGTGGAACAAATCATAATCATTGAATTTTTATGAACTCCATTTCGTCATACCATTTGAGTATCAATTACTCTACTTTCGTTACGTTCCTGGTAAAGAATAAACGTCTGTGACATTCGTACTGATACCAATTATAATTCAAATTACAGGAAAGGTAATGAATGACACGACAGGGGATGATGGTAAAACTAAAATATACCATCAACTTGATTTGATTTGGAGGCAAAATGGAATGAAGAAAAAGGACGAATACCTCTTCCCGCTCCACCAGCCTGCATTGCACCACAATAAATGACGAAAAGAAGAAATGCAACTAGCTTTGCCATATCTGAAGTCGCTATTAAAATGTTAAACCAATATTTCCTAAAGTATTCGTTTGACGTCATTAATTTACTCCGATTTCAACTGGAGATATTGAACCGGACTCGATCCGGAACGACTTAGTTTGCTAATTTTTTGTATTCATTGTTGGAATAGTGACATTTATGAATGAATTTGTTCAAATTTCCTACTGATCATCAAGGATTCAGTTTATGATCTCTCTCACTATCATGCCTTTTGTAAAGAATCTTGCTTATAAGATGAAAATGAATGAAAAGAAAGTAAGGGATGTGAGCCATTCTTCACGGAGCCATAAAAAGCTTGAAAAAAACAAATAAATACAAGCTAATGAAATATTGACATGTTTTTTTTTCTGAAATCGAGTAATCTTTTGTAAATCCAGAGGTCCTAACTTAAGAAAAAAGTTTTTGCTCAATTGATTGGAGAAGGTTGCTGCCTAATTAGTAATTAACTGGTTGAGAAGCAATTACTTATTTCCTAATTAACCGATTTGGAAGCAATTACATTCAAGCTTAGCAGTTCGGTTAACGTTCGGTTTATTAGACATTTTTCGACCTCAACCTCATGAATGTTATAATGAAGCAAATTTATTCTTGTATACTGTAGTCCTGCATGATGAGTAATTAGTAAAGCTTATTAAAAAAGATTATAATTTGCTACACAAAACTTTGGCGAGCGCCTACCGTATCTAAGACTGTTTTT